CGACAGAGATAGGATGAATCATAGAACAACAGAAGGAAAAATCGAGGAAGAGACAATTTTTAAGACAGTCGTTACGGAGAAATTATTCATTGGCTACGCGTGAGCTTGGCGCTTGCAAAGCATTCCGCCTTCGCATTTTTTTAATTTCGATTACAAAGCCTAAAGCTTCTCTAAGCTTCTACATTTTCATTACACCCATATTTTACTGATAGCATCAATAAGATTATTCTATTCTTATTTTAGATGTAGTAATAGAAATTAAATGGACAAAGATGTAAATTAGCCATTTACATTATAAATTAAATTAATTGCTTTGTTTTAATGTCTTACATATTTAATGAAAAATCTCTATAGACTTTTATTAGCTTGACATTATTCGGCGTAAATGATTATTTTTATTGCATTATACTCTTGCTTTACAACATTTACGATATGTTATCACATATTCTTGAGAGAAAATAAATTAAATATATAGTGAGTTTAATTCTATTTAACATTAGAGTTTTTCTTTTTTTTTTTTTTTTTTTTTTTTTTTTTTACAATAAAAATAAACATAAATATAATAATAAATAACAACAATAGTAACGAAAATAATAATATTATGATTATCTGTGCATAAAATCATGCACAATTTAGGAAAAATTATAAGGGAGGGCTATGATCAAACAATTAATTTATTGATCTACAGTTCCTATTAATGTCAACCGAACATGCAATAGTACCATGTTCAGTATACAGGAGCACTATTAGTAAGAAAGCACTATTTCAAAAACCTGTTTCATTCATTGAAAAGATATTCACTTGCGCTATGTTAAATGGAAAAAACGGATGGATGCCACTTGTAGAAAAATAAGAGCCTTATAAAAAATCTTATAAAATAATTAAAAAAACACAGCCTATAATGGAAATGTGGAATGAGATCGACGGTTGCTTACAGCACGTTTTCACATTACCATTATATTTAGGGAAAATGAAAACTGCATCATTACCATTGAGCAAAAACATTCTTATAATTTATTTATGTTTCGCTTTGAACAATAAATTAGAAGCTCCAACGAAAAATGCATTCTATGTACAACACACCCCCCCCCTCCCGCGTGCACGAACACACACACGCACACACACAAACGCATAATGACCAAAAAAATAGTTCACCTGAAAAACCTTTTCCTTTCTCTTGAATAGAAGGGAAATAAGAATATTTTTAACAGTACGACACACACTGATGCTAAAGCAAAATAAAATTGAGAAGGGCTTTTGAAACACAAAGTACTTAATTTTTGTCTTGTTATTTATATTTTTTTGTTGATTAATAAAATTAATGATTAAGTAAAACGGAGTATTTTTTGTTTCTCAAAAAAGAATACTATTTTCAATTTATACATAACAATTGTTATTGCAGATGTTTTATAACAAATTGAAAATAATGATAAAATATTATATTACTTTATTTAACAACATGAATATAAAGTATATAAATATGGTTAATTAATGATGTAAAACTTGAATGCCTTATCAATTAAATCAAGTGTAACAATAATTTTTAATATCTATTGAAAATGAAATCGGCAATAAATTTTATTATTCATCCTTGTCGCCTTATCTACTAATTTAGAAAATTATGATTTCTTTCATGAATTATTTTATTTAAAAGTTCAAAAGTGCTACATTCATTTATTTAAAGATTTGTAACTATACAAAATTTTCATTATTATATTTTAAATTTCTTTTTCCCTAAATAATTACGTGCTATATGATTTAATAATCGTATGTTAATTATTTATTTAAGAATTACATTTGAACATCTGTTTCTATGATTCAGTTTTAAAACTCTCATTATATACACAGTTAAAGCATTGTTGTCCATTTATTAAAATGAAAGTATATCACAATTTATGTTCTAATAATCGCTACACTAAGTTTTATTATATATATATATATATATAAACTGAATTTATTAAAAAATTTTATATATTATATCCATATATTATATTATACATTATATATGTATATATTTAAAATTATTCGTATATTGTAATATATTAAAAATAATTTATTAGAATAAGTTTTACTTTTTATTAAATGAGTAAAGAATTGATCGTCTTAAACAGTTAATAGATTTGGTAAAATTAGTATTTAGAAAAAGTATAAAAATGTTTAAATACACCTTGCAAGAATCGATTTTTTTTCGTCATAATGTTCTTAAGCAAACAAATATTATCATTAAGTGACCATCAATTTCATCCAGTATTTTTAACAGGGAAATGAAAAAAAGAATGAAAATCTATCCGAGTCCTTCAGGATATGAGCAAGATATGTGCGAACTCTTTTTTTTTTGGAAGAAGACATGACGGGGTGGGGTGGGTGGAGGGGGGGGGGGGGGGGGGGGGGGGGAGCTGATGGTTGCAGCGAAAGGATTCTCGTACCCCAGATGCTTTTTTCTCCTCAACGGTGGCCACACACGCGAGACATCTGAGGGTGGCTGTGCTATACTGTGTAAGGGGTTAAAAAAAATCATTGGGGTGATACTGCAAGAGTGAGTCAACGCTCTGGGGTGGTCTTTTCCCCACCGGTTCTCTCTCTCTCTCTCTCTCTCTCTCTCTCTATACATACCTGCGGCTCTCTCTCTCTCTCTCTCTCTCGCTCTCTATACATATATATATATATATATATATATATATATATATATTTCTTACTCTTTTATCCACAGGGATTTGAGCGCCAGTCTTCGTCTAGTGATGCGCTCTTTTACCCATCCAACCCCCTGACTCCTCGCGTTTCTCAAACGCAACCCCACTATACTTTACGAGTATAAGAATTCTCTTTCGTAAGTTACACCTCATGGCTTTTTAATTTATTGGAACTTTTCTACATGAAATGCTTTTTTCGTTTGCGCTCTTCTGTAATAAGTAAAATGATTAAGAATGACTAATGTAATAATTTGCCGTCATTAACCTGTGCAGTGTTAATTAACATTTCCCAATATTGTAATTTTAAGACGCTTTTTTTTTTATTAGATTAATATTTATATTATATTATTATAAAATACTTTATATTATAAATATATATATATATATATATATATATATATATATATATATATAAAGATACTTTATAATTTTTAGAGAAACTAATATATTATACTTACATTTGGAAGTTTACGCCATTTTCATATTTTTGAAAAATTTAATTTTTTCTATTTATAATTAAAAAAAATTAATCAGAAGAAAATCTTAATATAAAAAATTATCGTATTATTATTCAGCATGCACTAGAGAAATATAGGTACTAAAACTTTCATATACGATTTTTCAAAAAATACATTTAAAAATACACAAAGCCAGCTGCAAACAGAATCGGATTTGATCGAACGAACTTCTTTAATTTAATCGATATTTTCACAATTAAATTTTCTAGAGAAGTGCGAATTACTTTTTTATTTATATTAATTGTTTTGTAATTCATTAAGCATTTTTTAATACAATTTATTATAAGAGAAATATCAATAATTTTTGTAACTTATCCATTATTTTATATTTATCTCTACTCTACCAATAAATTGCATACTAACAATGAAAATTTTAACCCCATAATTAAAAAATAATGATTAAAAATTCGAACATTATATATAATATATTTAAAATAGAATATAATTAAAAAAATTTTGCAATTTGAAAAAAGGAACATAAACGAAATCTTATACCTTACAATAGTAATAAAATTTGTATTTATTTTATTACATTTATTAAATTTTTATTAAATTTCATGTTGATTACATCGATATTGTTTTATCAGTTAATACGAGTCTCATTGCCATCTAATCTTTCTATTGCTATGTAAAGCTATTTCTTAATTAAGTAAAAGAGAAAGCTATTATTTCGATACCGGGAAACGCAAAGTTACAGTAAACGAACACACTTTTTACCTTAATAGGTACGTAAAATTGTGTTCTCTTTGATTCTTTTTGAATTGAATATTAGACTCTGTCGTTTAATTTTAAAATCTAAATTTAAATTAAGTATCAAAACTAGTGTATATTAAATAACTTAAAATTTCCATTGAATATTGTAATACCAATACCAATATCGTAAACAAAAAACAATTTTTATAAACTAAAAATGAAGGAATGAATTAAAACGGTAATTTAAATCAATTACTTTACAACGTTATAAGCCTTATTATTATAAAATAATAACAATTACATCTTACGCTTATTGTTAAATATGTAATGGATTTAAATGGGTATATTACGTGGTATGTAACGTAAATATAGGATTTTGTAATATTGTAAATCCTCAAGAGCGAGATGTGCGAAGAGTTAATTTTAGTTCTTAAAAGCTCTCTTCTTTATTGTCTTTCTCATCCTTGGTCGTCTCCTCTTACTTGGCTGGTTAACAAACTTGTTCCCAAGTTTTCGACTGTCCGTCTGTCTTCCCCCTACCAAATCCACTTTTCGTCCAACGCAATTCGTTATCTTACGCCTTTCTAATCCTAATCTAACCGCTATTATTTGTAATATTATAATGGATAACAAAGATAAATAATAAAATAATTAAATAAAAATTTCCCTTTATAGTTTAACCTTGCCATTTATTTATACAAAATTTTTGCTAATTAAATATAACTAACAATATTCATTTAAATTTAGTATTTTACAAGTATAATACTATATAAAGAAATAATTACATTATAATTATTTTAATTATTTCATTCCATTTTTTAAATATAATTAATTGCGTAACCTCTTGATAATTCCATATTACGTCAATTAAAATTTTGAATAATAATGGTATTACTGCGTCGTATTTGCTGTTAACGAAGATAATGATAAATTAAACCTACCATTATTTATTATATAAGTTAATACAGTGTTTATTATTTCTTATATAAATCTTAAGCAAATTATAGGTAGAAGGTCTAAATAAAATAATAAGATTTTAAATCTTTAAATCATACGAAGTGTGTTAGAAGTAAATTTTCAATTTTTCAATGTATTGAAATCAATAGAGTATAAATATTTCCTTGACTATTTATAATTATTGATATTTTTTTATTAATTACAATTTATCTGTTTGTACAGTCGATATGCTGCTTAAAATTCAGCTCTCTCTTGCTCAAATCCTAATATTTTGTAAGTAATAAAAAAAAGAAAAAAAAAAAAAAAAAAAAAAAAAAAAAAAAAAAAAAGAAGCAAAAGGATAGCGTGTAAAATATAAAATAAATAATTTCAGGTATTTCAATGTGATTATATTTTCATTAAATTGGAAATCTTATTCGTTAGGTCATATATATGGATTCGCAAACGCCAAACCAATGGTCGGACAAGATATTTCAAATATAACCGAGGGATACCTTACTCTTGTCGTATCGCTTAGGAAAATTAATCCTGGAAATGTTGAGGTGGAGAAGGATCACTTATCTTCAGGGGTACTTGTCTCAAGACAAGATGTTTTAACTACTTCCCATATTATGGAATCTATTCCAGCAAATGGATTTGAAGTAGTCATTGGTTCATATGATTTGAGAAGTGGTACAAGATACTTTCCATTTTGGTGGATAACTTTCGATGAGTGGGCTACAATTTATAGTGTGCCCGTTGAAACTCAGTTGAACGACATTGCTATAGTTAGAGTAAATCACGTTTTATAAGTAATTTTATTATATCACGAAAGTCATGTAATCAATTTTATGTGCCTTATTTAAATAATCAATGTATAAAATTGCAATGTGTTCATAAAGCTAACTATAATTATCGTTAGTTACTTAGACCAGTACCGAATGAAATTATACCAGCAACTATATCACCATTGCCAGTTGAAAATTTATATTGGGCAAATGTTCTCATAGCAGCATGGGGCAAAGTAGAAGATGGCAACTATTCTAGATTTTTAAGATCAACTATATTAACAGTTATTACGAATGACTTTTGTGCGCTTAAAATAAAAGTAGTCCGTGGATTCGACGTTCTAGTTCCTAAAAACATCATTTGTAGCATTAGAATTCCATATGCAATAATGACTGCCGTAAGTACTGAATTATTCATAAAATATATAAAATAATAAAGAGAATCATCGAAAATGATTATAAACATTTGATTATCGGTATTGAGCATTCGAAACAGTTTTAATCAAACCGTATTCAAGATAATATAACATAATATTACTTGGCAAAGGAAGTTAACGAATGTTAATTAATACCATTTGATGTTTTAAAATAGTCGTAGGATTGGGTGTGTACGCAACGGGAATACACATGCGCGCCTCTTGAAAGCGGTGACAACAAGTTTATGAAAAATCCTCTCTAATATTCTAACATATAAAAAAGGATGAATTTATAATTCATAAGAAGTGCGCCGAAGTCGGTACACAGAGACGTGCATATATCATCTTCCGTATCTTGTTACATTTGAAATCTTTATGTGATAAACTCTATATTCATGCGATAATTTCGTCGTATTTATGCCGTTGATAATAACCATAAGATATTAATAAGACAATGTAATGGTATGGGAAATTTTTTATATATAATCCCTTTTGTTTATTAATATTATTCTCAATAATTATTTTAACGAAAGCGTGATTCATTTAATGATTTATGTTTCAAACATTTTTAAATAAATTTTTTTTATCTCAATTTTTCACTATTAACGAGTGTATTTGCATTATCTTTTTTAGGGCGATAGTGGCGGCCCGATATTTTTTAATGGAAAACTTGTGGCAATTCATAAAGCAACGTGTCTTTATCCGAATGAATTTATTAATCCAAATAAAATAAATATGCATATGTCTCTACATTTTTATAGAAATTTTATATCAAATGTTATAAATTTTCTTTAAATGAGGTATTAAACTATAATTAGTCAGTATTTCTAAATGAATTCTATCAACTTTTCATTTAGCTGTCAAATAAAAGTTGGAGTTATAGATTCAATAAGTCTTAATTAAATTGTATACAATTTTTTAGTTAAATGTTATTAAAAAATTATGATATCGTTAGAAAATCTATTCAACAATCTGAAAAATACTTATTTCCATCATAATATAAAACACACGTCTGATCAAACAGTGTATTGTAAAAGCAAAAAGTCATATATTGTTATAAAAGTGATTGATTTAACATAAGTATTCAAAAGTTATCTATATTATAATACAAAGATATTTTTATTATATAAGTTTGAAAAATATTTGTAGTTTAATTTCATAAAACTCATATATAATTTGTATCAATAATGAGAATTATTACACACATCTGAATCTATGAAAAAAAAAACTTAATATTAATAATATTAATATTAATATTTCAATGATATTTTTTGTACAAATTTTTATATACAAAAGAATTATATTTTATTAAAAATTGAAGCAATAAAATGTCGACGTTGTTTATTGGTCGATGTACATTCAATAAATGTAAATAAAGTACGATTTTATCTTATTTTATCTTATAAAATTTTTTTTCTGTCGCGTATTACAATATTATCTTAAAATTAACATAATAAATTGGTGATTTTACAAAATTAATTCATGTATAAGTAATTTATATGCAACAGTTATAACATTATTGTTGTACCTTTAGCAATAACCATCAGCAATAATCGATATAATTAATACATAAAAAATTGCATATTCAAAGTTTTTAAAACATCTATATTAATAATTTTATTGAGTACAACTTGTATTTTTTATTCAAATAAAACTCTATGGAATGCTATAAAATTGAGTTAAAAAATTGAATTTATGAACAATTTAAGTGTTTTAAAAACGTATTAAGGAAGTATTATTATGAATTTTAATAATAATAATGGAGTATTTGTATATTTCATTCAAGACTAATAACCAAATAGTAATTTAAAATTTATAAAATCTAATATATGTAAAATAGTATGAATGTATTTTCAAATAAAAAAGCAATATATTGTTTCAATATTTTTTAACTATATTTTTAATTCTGAAATTAATAAAAACCACAATCAATTGTATCTTGTTACTTACTAGACCACTAATTTAATATGTACTATTTTTTAAAATACCACTTTATAACAAACAAATTTTATTAATAAGTGAGACATATAATAAGGTAAGATATATAATAATTAGTCTTATATATAATAATTATAAATAATATAATAATAAGTATATAATAATAATAGTCTTTTACATTTTTACTCGATATACGTTCTTTCTTCATTATAACAAATAAACCTCGTACAAAAAAAAAAAAAAAAAAAAAAAAAAAAAAAAAAAAACGACAGATAAGTAATATACCAAGCGATAAAAATAAATAGGAACATTTATTAGAGAATAAGGCAAATAGGATGAACAAATACATATATATAAAATGCATACGTACTTTATAATAGTTTTCAAAAAGGGAAACTAGATTAAAAGAGATAGATAGAGAGTAGAGTAAGGTAGAGTAGAGAAACTACAGATTTTTTTTTCAAGTAAAAAGTACATGAAATTAATTATATTTGTTCTTTTAAGCGAATTATATAAATTTTTATTAAAAACCAGCCCTTTTGATATTTGTTTCGTATATTAATTCTTATTATAATTATATGCCACAACAAATTCTCTCTTCTTCTAAAAGTTAGTAATTATTTTAATTTTAACATACTATGATCAATACGTATGAATAAATCCTCCCAAAGCTTTTAATGTTTAACTGATTATCTGTAGATTTCCATTTGTAATATTAAATTTATTCATATTAATTATTAATTAAAATAATTTAAAGCATTTGATTTACTTACACTAAATGAATATATTATTTATAATATTGTATTAAAGGAATGTTCATATATCTTGATCAAATAATATAATGTTTCTTTAATATAAGTAATTCAAATATTATGTGCATTAGTTTGCGAAATATGTCAAAAAATTTTGAAATATAAAAATTAATGGAATAAATTTAACGCGTATATACACAGTAAAATTTTATTTAAAAGTAAAAATATGTTTTCTAACATACTTTAAAATATTATAAAAAGCTAATATTATCTATATAACTTAACAGTAATCATCTCACCTGTATAAATAGTTTTAATAAAAAAATATTTAAAATCTCACAATTAAAGAATGAAAATATATGTAAATTTATTAGCATATTTTACAAATATTCTTATATAATAATTGATTATTTTATTAGATAATTAATGTATTATAATAAAGAAATTATAATTCAAATACTAATTTCAAATATAATTCAGTGCTTGAATTTTTTATAATTCATAGATTTAAGAAATAATTATATAATTAACCCAATAAAAAGTTACTTAAGAGAATTTCATTATTTAGAAGTCAGTTATTACGAATGGATTATTTTTACTGCAATAGATTACTAATATATTCAAAAATATATTTTAATTATAAATTTAATATATAAAATTCAAGTGTTCTTACAAATACAAATTCAAGAGCCGGGAAGTATAAAGTAGAAAGAAACTTTAATTACAAATAAAAATAGAAAAAATATATATAAATTATGTTTTTGATGAAATATTGGAATTACATTATTGCGTAAAAAAATTGTCTATAAAAAATTATTGAATTAATAGACAATATATAATGTTCTTATAATATGTATGTTATTACATATTCATAATTAAAAATTAATTTTAAATTATTAAGATGTCTTAGGCTTTGGGATATTAAAAAAAAAAAAATTAATAAATAAGTTTAAATTTCGTGTTCCTAACTAAAATGGATATTGGATTGTTTTGTGTAATTTATAATAAGAGACAAAATATGTTATTCAACACAATTGACGTTATGTATTATGTAGGCCATTGAATACACTTTAAGATTAAAAAAATTCTGGAATGACATTATGTATGAAGTGAACATCTATGTATTTTTTAAGAATTGTTGAACAACTAAGCAGCTCTTTATTCACAAAATGTAAATAATGATAAAGATAATATTTTTATCATTAATATATATGCATGCTTATATTTGTTTATTTAAAAGCTTAGATAGATATTTTTTACTGATTTAAACAGTAGTTATTCTTTATATGCCTTTTTGTTTAAATTTGTACGTTAGTAAAAATATTTTTTGATAATAACTATCTTCTTATTATATATTCCTGAAAATAGGATTACGTATTATGATAGACTTAAAAAATATTCTTTGCCTAAATTTAATAGTTATAAGTCTACCAATAGTAACTTTTTTCATTTATAATGAATAATACGTTTGCATTTTATTTCTAAAATAAAGTTATTAATTGGCTAATAATTAAATATCGTGAATATTTAAAAAAAAAAAAAAAAAAAAAAAAAAAAAGAACGTCATATTTTAATTAAAATATCGTATTTTATTAAACAATTTATTTATATCTAATTATTGCATATATAATTAATTTATGATAAATTTTTAACATATGTAAATTTATTATTATACGTCATTCTATTAAAAAAATATTCTTTGCTCAAGAATTACTAATATTTAGATTGTACAATAATATATTCAATATATCATTGTAAATTATACAAAAGTACCGCGATATTTTCCAGATAACGAAAAATGAACGTATTTATTTAATTCTATATTAATTAGTATTGATACAATATAATGATAATAATAATAATAATTATTATTATTGATATAAAATATCAAGCGTATGAAAATATTAATAATAAAACGATATAATGTTTTAATAAAAAAAAAAAAAAAAAAAAAAAACAAACAAACAAAAAAATAACAGTCTGGTATTTCGTTTATTAGTTATAATAAAAGTTGTTAAATTCAATTATACGACTTCCGGCAATGAAAAATCCGAAAAAAAAACATCGAAACGACTCTTTTAAATGGAAAATCCTTTCGATAATCGCACATATTAAAGCAATTTTTTTTTACCTCATGCTTTGATTAATGAACGGGTCACTTATCGAAAGTTTTAGCGATGCATGAAAAAAGTGTTGACGCATATATGCAACGGACATTGACGGCTTTACAAACCATGCAAAAGACACGATCCATACATATTCATATTCAGGCGGTTATACATCCATTGGCCATTGAATTGCCGTCGACATTGAAATGTCTATACAAGTGCCCAGAGCACCTCACCCGTAAGTTAGACAGAGTTTTCCAACTTTTGAATAAAAATCCTTTATTCGGACGCTGCTGCCTTTACGTTTTAACCATACGATTATTTGTTTGGCAGTTTTAAACTTATTATTTTGATTGTTGCGCATGAGAAAGAAATTTTCGCTCTCGGCTTATCTCAATAATACCTTAGATATATCTTTTTTTTCTTGTAAATTGTTGTAAATATTTTAGAATTTAATTTGAATAATTCTTTCATTTCATGGACTTTTTTGTTGCTTAAAAAAAAAATAAAAAAAAAAAAATAATAATAATAATAACGACAGCAACAACAAAATTGAACAATAGCATATTTAATAAAGAAGAACTATTATTAACAGTTAAATTATTCAAATTATGTGCTGTTGACTATTACTCTACTCACGATTCATTTTGATCTTTAAGATAATACGTATTTGGAGTATATTTACATCTTCGTTAAGACAATTTTCCCATTATATTTTTATAATTATTGCACTTAGTATTAACTTGCGTTAAGAAAGGGGAAAAAAAATTCAAATATACACTTTCATTAAATATTGATTTTTATTTTACATGCATCGATGTTATCTTTAATATTTTATTAAAAATAATATTAAACTTTTACGTTATAAAAATACTTGTTATAATCACTTTGGCAATTAGTCTTTCTAGACAAAAATCTTTTTAGACTAAGAACACGTATGTTTATATTTATTCTCCTGCGCTCTCTGTATTTTTTCTAATTTTTTCAACTGACTTTTAGTAATTTCCTTTCCCGTAGCATCATGTGTAGGTAAACCCTATAATCAAAAGTATTAATTAAAAAAGTAATAAAAGTATTAAGAGTATATTATGAGTTATGATTAATTCATTAATCAAATAATATTGGAAAATTAATTTTCTTCTTGAATGAAATATAAGCATAGGCCTAAGCAAGTGATTTAGTTTTAACTTTAGTGATCAATTTTAACAAGTGGAAATCATTGGCAATATATCCTTCCAACTTACAGATTCGTCAAATTGAGAGTACTTGTCCGTCATGTGCAAAAACATTTCCTTTGGCGGTATTTTCGACTGGGCTTCCTTCTCTTTGGCAGCAGCGGCAGCAGCGGCAGCAGCTGCAATTTTCTTCTCCTTTTCGGCAATTCGCTCGGCCTCTTGACGCTTCTTTATTTCCCGCTCCTTCAAAAGCTCCTCCCTGTCAACGAGTTTTATGCTCCTCGAGCCCATGCCCACGTCCTCTAATCGCACCCCCACGTCCAGGAGCACCTCATCCCGTAGCTTATCGCACTCTCGTAATATGTCCTTGGCGCCGAGTGCTCGTGCATGTTCGCGCACCTTCTCACGAAAGTCCGCAAGGATGTTTAAGTACGGCATTACCGTTTCCTCGACCTCCACCAATGAAATGTGAGTAATTTATTATACATATAGGATTAAGCAATAATTTTGCAATTTGAAATATACGTAAGATTGCGAACATATTGGCTTTATAATGTGGATGGAGTGCAAAATAAATTAAAAATAAATTATACGTAAATAACAATTGAGCTGAATATTTATAAATAATTTTTAGTTTAGATAGCTAATATATATTTTGTAGTATTTAGTATCGATTTCTAGTGTCTGTTTTGTATCTTGAACATTGTCATAACATCTTAGTAAAAGTTATAAGTATTTTTATAAAATTATTTTGTATCCATTTAAAACAGTTATATTATTTGTTAATGTTTCAGCATTACATGCAGCATAAAGTAATTTTGCTGGAACAATATAATATTCTGATATGGATAGTTTAATTCAATAACATAATGTCTTACATTAAGATTTTGATTTTTATCATCGAGCGGGAAGCCAAACGTATCGTGTGAAGAAATAGCTCCAAAAATGGTAAATATTTCTGTTATGTAAATTGCAATGTCCTGAAGCAACGAGCCATTAGGGCTTTCACGATTTTTCATATAAATATTGCAGTTCGTCACTAATTCTCTTATTGTGTCAAGAACTGTCCTCGTATCAATATTATCTGTTACAAAAAACATACTTTAAAATTTTGTATTATTTATCACATTTTAGATACTCACCACATAATGCATTATGAACCTCATCTTTAGTATTGTAAAATTTATTATTTAAATCAATCTCAAAACTATCCCACTTCTCAAAAGTTCCAATAATATTACATTTTGGTTTTCTTAAAATACATTTGACGTTTAGGAAAAATTCATTTAAAAATTTTTCATATTGAACAGCCATGTCCATGGTAGTTTCACTGTAGTCTAACGTATTTTTCCAAGAGTGCAATAAAAATACTAATCTCAACTGCCTGGCAGTGTTTTTTGTGAGAGCTTCCTTAATTGTAATGAAGTTTTTCAATGATTTGGACATTTTACATCCAGAGATAGTCAGATGACCAGCATGGAGAAAATATTTGACCCAGTCATTGTTATCGAAGTAAGCTTCCGCTTGAGCTAATTCATTGTCATGATGAGGAAATTTGAGATCCACTCCACCAGTATGAATATCAACGTTTTCACCACAAATCACTGAAGCCATAACAGAGCATTCGATGTGCCAACCTGGCCTGCCTTTACCCCAAGGTGAATCCCACCAAGGCTCTCCCATTTTTGAACTTTTCCATAGAGCAAAATCAGTTGGCGAACGTTTCTCGGATAACCTTTCATCTGTCACACTTAAGTCACCTATAGACGAAATTTCTTTTTAATAATGAAAAAAATTTTTTAAGACATAGTTTATAATAAGAAATAATAATTTTTCTAACTATTCTAATTTATAATTTAAACATTTCGAAATTTAATGTACATTCGTTATTTTTATTATTTTGTTTATATAGAATTTTTGCATGAATGTATATTTTCAAAATTATAAAGATTTTCTAAATTTCGATATTAATTAATTAATTTGTAATTCTACAAGTAATTTTATGTATATATATATATATATATATATATATATATATATATAATATACATTATGTATGTATATTTAATAGTGCATATATAATTAATTAGATAAAAGTGCAATACCTTCTCCTTCATTTAATGTTGATGTATCACCATAAGCTTCTGGTACTAATTTAGCATAAAAATGATTATCACGTTTATCAAATGCCTTAACATCAAAATATACAGAGCCATTGTTTTCATAAGCTAGATTATTTTCTATAATTTTTTCTATGTACGCAATGATTTCTGGAACGTATTCGCTAACTCTTGTCAGAACATTGGGTCTCAAGACCTGCAGGGAATCATTGTTATAACAAATATATAATTAAATAATAAGACTTGAAACAACGTTGTTTATGGAATTCCAGTTAAAACTAAATTAAAAAATGTTCAATATACATGTAATTAATATATATTTTTTTATAGTTTCATAGAATAGAATTTTTAAATTAATTAATTTCAAAATTTGAAATAAAGTATATAACAAGAAAATTTGGTAATTATATTTTGTAAATGGATTTTGTAAAAGATTTATAATATAATTTTTTTAAGATTTATAGCTAAAACATTAATATTACTTTAATCTATAATTATAATCTATAATATTTTTCATAAATGTTAGTTATTTTTTTAAATATCAATTTCTTACGTTTAATGTATCCATGTCTTTATGAAAATCATTTTCCCAATATTGAGACAGTTTGTTAAATATAGAATGTTCATTAATTGTATCACCTTTCTGTTTATCGAGCCAATCTGAAAGTGGATCTTTCGCTTCTTTTAATAAAATCTACATAGGGAATAAAAAATGTAATTTTTCAAAATTATTTTGATATTTGGTATATACTTTGTAAATATGCTGATATTGCAATTATTTAGATTTCTTTGCATACGTTAAAATATTACCTGTAGCATTGTTTTAACATCTTCTTGATTACTGGATTTGACAGCTGATTCAAGTTTATTAACAGAATTTTCTACTTTACTCACCATATTTTTAAACATATTTTTCTTATCAAGATTTGTGGTGAGTTCTATTTTATCTTTCAAAGTTATCAGAACATCATTGATGTGACTTAATACTTGATCAAGAGGATGATTTTCTTTGATATAATTTTCATAAAGGTGATTTTGTCTAGCACGTTTAATGATTTTATCATCGATATCTGTTACGTTCATAACATATAGTACGTCGTATTTGAAATAATTTGTCAATACTCTTCTCAAAATATCAAATGACATAAAAGACCTGAAATATGATAAAATATTTTAAATAATTAATAAAAATAAAGTCATTATTACAATATTCAAATATATATCACGTAAATTCTCATATTTTAAAATAATAATACTTTTAAAAATTAAGTCAAATGGAATATTGTGCGCATAAAAAAGAATTTTTTGACTTATTAGAATTATAGTAACTTTACCTTGCATGGCCCATATGAGACGCATCGTATACAGTTGGTCCACAGCTGTACCACATAACTCTATTTTTATTTTGTGGAATAAATTCATCCTTTTGACGAGTGAAACTATTGTAAAGTTTTAAACAAGTTCCACTTTTACGTTCTGGTGCGCTCCAGGGAGGCTGTATTCGTTTTGACATTCTGCTGCGCTTATAAAAAAAAAAACATACATTAATGTATAAATGTAAAAAATATAAAATACAAAAGAGTATGTAAATAAAAATACTTCATTAAACTTCATAATGAAGTTTAATTATTGTAAGCAATTGCTCACCTTGCTGGAGTCCTGAGATTTTAAGAGGTTATAAAACTAAATTAATCTATTTAGTGCGATAGAATATATGAAAATACAATAAAATAATACACCATTAAATCATATAATTATTTAATTTTTATATGTCATTTATACAACGTAAAAAATTCACGTAAAAACAGATTTAATAAGTCATATGGCGCCTTCGGTATGTCCATACGTAATCTCACGAATTTACAAACAAGACAAATTAAAAGAGCACAAATGGGCGATGATGACATTAAGTTAGGAAACGTGTGTATCCATTGTCACATGCCCAATGGAAGTGTGAGTCTACTGGATTTTGCAAATCCGTGTAATTCCAACGTGCCAATAATGCATGGGTGCTCCGATAATGGAGAGAAAAATTATAAAATAATTTTCCATTGTTAATTAAAATTAGATTTAAATCATATTTCACGAAAATATTCATTGGTTTTATTCACCTACTTTTATAACTTTTATTCTGTTGTATTTTCTTTAATATTGTACTTTTATATATGCTTTTTAACGCTATACATGATTACTCCTGTAACATTTGCAAAATTGCAGAATTTAAAACACTTCAGCAATTTTGCAAGTACTTAAGTAAAGTTTGTGAATCTTTAAAATAGAAATTGCTATAGATTTAAAAATTTCGATTAGTGTTGCCATTATATAAATTGAATAACAATTAAAAAATTAATTTTCCATTCAGATAGTTATTAATAAATTATTAGAATTTTAATTTATAATCGTCATTTACTATAATAAGTTCCTTATTTATTTTTGTATTCATTTGCTTTCTTAAATATTTTTTTATTTATAAATTTTTTTAACTAACTAATGTGAATAGAAATTGAAATGTTCTCTCAATGTATATACGTACATGCGGAACACAGACGGGCAAATAAAAATTTTTTATTTTAATTTTATATCGTATATTTTATAAATTTAATATAATTTTTTATACTTAACATTTAGCTCTCGACGTGTTCAATGAATTTATAAAATTTATTTTAGTGCATTCTAATATATGATATCGTAAATAATTAATCTTAGTACAACAATTAACTAAAATTAAAATAAAATAGGGGAATAATATTTATTTGTCAAATATATCTCTTGACACTTAAAACTCTTAAATGTGTTTGTAAACATTTTTGTTTAGGCATAAAGTAAAACATATATATAAAATATAATCAATTAATTTGTTTAATATTTTTTATTAATCCAACCACATTTGTTTTATTAGTATATTTATTTTCAAATTTATTAAACAACTAATTGTTATTAGTCACAAAATGAACTTTCTAATTTATAAGAAATTTATAATTTTTTACTAATCAGAAAATATATTACATTTATAAATAGTACTATCTATAAATAATTCAGAATTATTTATAGTTTGTACTACATTTATTAATACAAAAAATAATAGCGTATATTTTTATAAAATAAAAAAGATGTTTGTGAAAACAAGGCTTTGATTTATTATTTTCATTTTCAAATACATCTTTTGAACTAAAATTTTGTATTAATTTTATATTCAACATAAAATTATAGTTATATTTTACTTTTATGATCAATCACAATTATAAGAAATTACGAATATTTAATCGATTTGAATAAATATATTTGTACAATACAAAATGATATTATTTTATATCAATATTTTATTGAAATCAATAGAATTGTATTTAAGGTATAAAATTCATTTATTTATGGACAATAATTAATTTATTAACAGTTTAATGTAACTAATTTTTTACTCGTTATACTTTTAGTGTACGATTGCACATTTGAAGCAATAAGATAGACAAAACTTGTTTTATTATACGTTTCACATATATTAACTGAATATTGATAAATTTAATTTAATATGTTTAAATATTTTACACAAATTTGTATAAGTGATAATTCCTTTGTACATAATATAAAATCTTATGTTTATAAAATTGATTGATTTCATAAAATATTTAATATATCGATAAACGAAGTAAGATATAAATAAAAAAAATACAATAAAATTCTTATGCACTGTTAATATTATTCTACGAAAGAATTTCTAGTTTGTAGTTTTAAGCACATATCAGACAATAAAAAATATTTCTTTCTTTACCGTTCTTAAATCTCTTTACGAATATTCTATATAACATTGATGAAATCATAATATATTTATAATATTATTATAATAACAAAACATATTTGAATTATAATTATTCATCCGTCTTTTTGTATAATTTATTATCTAACTTTCTTTCTTTCATTCATACACTTTTTTAATTCATTGCAAACACCCAACATTCACATATTCATTTTGACTTTTCTTCTCAGATCAAAATTAACAATTATGAAATCGATAAATTAATCGATCGACAACAAATTCAAAAATATTACAATGTAATTGTCAACTTGTGTTGCAAGTTTATATTAAAAATTTCTCTCCTTAGCTGAGTTTCAATAAAAGATTTAAAAAAATGTTATACATTATTTGTTACGATCTATTTATAAATTTATAAATTGATTTTTTAAATTATAAATATTCTTTTTCACGAAGATTGACATTATTAAATATAAAATTTATAATCGGCAGATACAATTAAATATACACACACACTCTCTCTCTCTCTCTCTCTCTCTCTCTCTCTCTCTCTCTGTGTGTGTGTGTGTGTGTGTATGGGTGGGTACGTGTATGAACGCACACGCATACACGCACATATACAGACACTCCTAGATTTATTTCTTTATCATAATGATAAAATAGTGAGAAGTGGTTAAAAATAAATTAGTTTATTGATTATTTTTTTCTCGCAACGTCTATACTTTTAGGTTTTGTATGTTGTGTGAAGATCACGTGATAAAAATTAAAAAGTACATATATGTCATCGAATCAGCAAGGACTTTGAATTATTTGTATCGCATGCTGCAGTGCATCATCGATATTTTCATAAACAGGTACACCTTCGCGCGTCGCCATGTCTGACAAGTATATTCTACCCCTATTGTAGTCTTTTGTTGCTTGCTCCGTCAACTGAAACGTGAAGTTTTTATTTATTTAATAGAGGCATTGCGCAAATACAAAATTACCATCATACGGATTACTATTAATGACCTTTGATGAAAAATATATATATATATATATATATATATATATATATATATATATATTTGTGTGTCTGCTATTTTAAATAATTAGTTTAATCCTTAATGTTAAGAGATAGTTGCTATTACATTATAATAATTGAAATTCGACATTTTGTGATCAGCTTTTGTTTATATAAATAAATGTTTGGATAAATAATAATTGCTTTTTTTAAATTTGAATTTGATTACATCTCAGGCTTTAATAGTCTATTCATTTCAATTTTAACGTAGAGTTTAACGTCTATTGGAATAAGAAAAAAAATGAAAAAATCTAATATAATAAGCTTGGCGTTTTGTTCATTACCTTCTCACCAGACACCGAAAATCCTTCAGGTAGAGCTTGAACACAAAGGACGAGTTTAGCGCGTAATCCGATCAAATGAGCAGCCAGAGCCATTAATGCTATACCGCGTGTATGGTGAGGTATAACCACCATTATTAATCGTGAATTCTTCATGCGCTGCAACTCTAGAGGTAATACTCGAACGTTAAACTCATTTGTACTTGAACGATGAAGTGTTAGGCCCAATGACCTGAAAGTCCACAAATAAATTAACACTTAAACAAATTTTAAATGCAAGTAAGGGATATTACAAATTAACTGCAGTATGTTACTAATTATTTGTTTGTTTTTTTTTTTTTTTTTTAATAAGTATTTAATAAGTATTTAGTTCGTTTGAGTTGATATTATACAATAATAATTTAATGTTTATTCAATGAGCATTCTCATTATCGAAAAAAAAAAAAAAAAAAATGAAAGAAAATGAATAAAATTTTTCGATATATAATTTCTTTTTCCATTACTTTGTTTCATAAACATGAATCACTGAGTTGCAAGTAATAAAGTAATAAACTAAATGACTACATATAAATTTAAATAAACATATGTAGTACAATAAAATTGAATGCACAGTTTTATCATAGCACAGTTGCAATGGATGTGTACACATTATTATCTACATAAATTAAAACAAACTCGTTAATATTAATAATTTTTTTAATAAGTAAATTGTATAAAATCCATACGTAAGGTAATGTATTTAAAACTTATAATGTATCGAGAGATAATTTTTATAAATAATTATTAAGGATAAATTATGAAATGAGAAATTTTTTTTTTAATATCTTCATATAAATAATTCATACATTACTTAGTGCAGAAAATCCCCCCCCCCGCTCTCCCCCCACTCTCCAGCCAACTTCCCCCATTATAAATTAATACGAATAAAAGATTGTCATTATATTTAAGAAAATTTTATTGCCTTTCTATTCGTTTTAATTGTATCTATAAAGTAGGTCGCTTAATAGGTTGATTAACTTACTCTATCAATGGTATTGCTGACGACTCTAACCAAATTAAATCTTTATCGACTACAGCTATATACAGATCCTTCTTTTCGGAATCTATTATTATAGAATTGGTCCAATCTAGAATATAAATTTTATCATTTTACCGAAAATGTGTAGGCAGTGCTTTGTGGGCTTAATTTGAATTAATATTCAATTTACAGCTACTCAATTTCTGCGCGTGCTTTACAATACAATGAAAATCATCTCACAACGAAGTATTAAATTTAATAGAATAAATCACACGTTATTAATATTACTGCAGTATTGATAATATCTGCATAAACAAGAATTTTTAGAACTTTAATCTGTATTCAATAAAGTGAATGTCTCATTAATCGGTGTTATAAATTGTTAGAAGAAAAGGACGTTTAGGAATTAAGAAATTCATATAATGTGATTTAGAAGAATAATGTAAAGTAACATATTAATGTTTACCCAGATAAATTTGCTTTGCATTTAATTTTCTAAAATATTTCGAAATACCTAGAAAACGATTAAAAGGATGTATCAAAGCCCTGCGCAAAAATTTTGAGGCCTTCCTATATAATATACGCCAAACCGAAAGTATCTCACTTTCGCAGGTTACTCCGTTATTCTTTAAACGCCATGACCATTCGTTGGCTATAGCACAGAATTGTTCAAAGTTAACTCGCTGTTCCCTTGCATCACCGTAGCTTGACAATTTCTCAATCATTGGTTTTTCATGCGCATCTGAAATAAATTAGAAAGATAATTTATTATTCCGTTAATGGAAGCTTAATTTTTATTGCTTAAATCTTGAAAGAAAAGCTTCGATAATAATATTTTCAAAGACAACGAATAAATCTTATTGATTCATTAGTTATCTATTAAAATAAAAATATATTTTGAATTCATCTGATTTATAAGAATTTTATCAGAAATTGAACTATAGTTACATTTTTTTTTTTTTTTTTTTTTTTTATCATAAAAATACCATAAGATATTGATTAGTCATTTGAAAATTTTAATTATCTCATTGTTAATATTAAAAATTAACTTGATATTTTCAAAATTAATAAATATATAACTAAAAGAAAAAGGAAAGCAAGTAAAATAATTATTCATTTTATATTCGTAATGTATATTAATGTATATATATATATATATATATATATATATATCAATAGATTTAAATTAATAAAACTGAATAATCATTATTATACAGAGTGTAATAGATTTATAAATAATCAATTTAATACATTTATAAATTTAATAACAATTTTAAATTAAATAGATATAATAATTTATTATTTAGTGCAATTATTTTTATCCCATATTATTTTTTAGAAATATTGAATAAATCCTTCGTTTTATTAAAAATACTTATCCATTTTTTCCAATGGTTATTATCAATGAAAGATGAACATTTTTATAGCAAATAATTTTTTTGTTTCTATTATTCTGAATAAAATAAAAATATCTTACCAGATCTATTTACACCATTGCGCACATCAGAAACAGGTATATTGCATTTCCCATTGTTTTGAAGTATCATTAAGGCCTAAAGATTTATCAATAAATTTGTCATTAATTTCTGAAAATACGCAAAAACATGCACGTATTAGTTATTTATTACGTAAGCTTACCTCGGCAAAACTTATTGTCCCTGTATCATTATTATCCAGAGATTTGAACGCTTCTCTTAACTTTCTGGAAAATAAATAATCTTGTTATACACTGAAATAGCATTGTAAATTATTTAAACCAGTATCTATTGTCTTGGAAAACTGCGTAATAAGGTGTGTACATACGTGATATCGGTTCCTTGTTGACCGAATGAGATTCTAGATGGCCTAATTCCATCTTCACTATGCAAATCTTGAACATTCGTCGTATTACGAAGAATCTTTAAGCAATCAAATATTATTTCTAAATTTAATTAAGTAAACTTTATTAATGAATAATATATATTTATAATATAATATGATTGTGAAGTGAAGATAGAAATTTATAATATAAATATTTATAGAAATGTTATATATAAATGATTATAAATATATAAAATATTATTTAATAATTATGAACTATATTATTTGTTAATATAATTGCAGAAAAAATATTATTCTCAACTGATCGCATTTAATATCATATGATTTATACATTTTTGACGAAAATCTTTCAAATAAATTATAATAAATGTTCTATTATATATTATTTAATATCCTATAGTAAAGAGAAAATACATATATCATACTCAGAAGTATTTAAATATTTACAAGGCCATCATTTATATTGATTTTACGAAACCGATACAGTTGGACTATTATATAATCGATGAAGTTATTACAATTGTGTACTTTAAATCATACAACTATTGACCATACATTAAATATATATATATATATATATATATATATATATATATACATATATATATTTATTTATTTATTTATTTATTTATTCATTTATTTATTTATAAATTAAAAAATTGAATGACTAATAGTTTTTCGATACAATTGATTATAACGAGTAATTTATAAATATATGCAACAATTTCTTAAATAAACGATTTGTTGCAGCAATTATTTTACTTTTATTAATCTATAATCTATCTATAAATAAAATTTTATAAAATTGAATTTTACATCATATAAAGATCTACAAAATCTTTTCAATAAAATTTTCAAGATTTCAATGAATAAGAATAGAATATATTTTTTACAGATACCGTTAGTTAATTTTTTTATCTTTATATAATTGTAATTATCATATACTTATTTCAAAATACATATAAAATGCGAGAAATTCACCTTAGACGTACAATTGAGCGCGGCCGATATGCTCTCGAAAATTGGTATCCTTTGCCTCTCCATAAGATACTGCAGAACCAACAGTCCATTCGTCAGCTCATAATACTCTCTAAAAATTTTTTAACAAGACAAACATTTTCGTTCACAATGTTTAATTTAAATTTAAAACGAGCCAAAAGAATAACAGATGTTTGTTTATACATTACACGATTGAAACATTAATGTGATGAATCTAATAATTTATTGAAAATAGAATGCTAGCTATTGAACACTATGCATTTTTTATTTTATCAACGATAGTCTGAATATTTGGCACGAATCCTATATTTTTTTCGTCACTTTGCCATTACTTCACAAACAGCGGCATAAAGCCTTAATAAATTAATTATCTTGAAAAATCTGAATTGAATTTGATTTGTAATCAATTGAATGCAATGTTTTAAAATTATTTTTATTACAAAATTCTATAATGCCTTTAAATTTTTTTGATCAAATGAGATATTTAATATAAATTTTGAATTTGAAATTAGAAAAATGACCAAGTTAGATAATTCATATGCTTATGAAAGTAATTTAATTTTTCGAATAGTTTTATTTTTCCTATTTTTAGTATTAGCATATATAATAATTATTAATATACGTACACTTTCAAGTCAAATCTGGCACTTTAAACATCGTTTTATTTTAGCATTCGAAATATCATTTTAGTTTGTAATTTATTACTATTTTCTATTAAATCGACGAAACGTCAAATATCTTGTCTTTGTCTAAACGGATTGAAAAGTAAAGAAATTAAATATAAAAAATTATTCATTTCTAATTGCATTTGCATTATTAGAAATACACGCGCGTGCAATAATATGATAATTAAATCATACATTTATACAATAAATAACATATCTAGAGGAGCAATGTTATTATTAATAAGAATGCAGAACTTTAATTACTATAGCTTCATTTCATCTCGGTAGTTGAGAAATAAAATGAAAGAGAAAAAGAAGCTAAGTTTTAAATTTAAGCAAAAAATAAAATGATACAGAATTCTCTAACGTGCGCGAGCGAGGACAGTTGGCGTTTATTCGCCTCGGTGATTATTTATCGAACGGACGACAAGGACAGAGATATCTGGCGTCCCCTCGAATGAAAGACGAGCGTATGACCCGTTCGCAACTATCGAGGTTGCTTAGCTGTTCATTTATGTGCCATGTAATAATCAATGTAACCCACTGGTTGGATACGATCTCCCCGAGGATCGATTGGCCTTGTCTGTAAGGATGTATGACGACGATGAGGGACTCTCGGCGTGTACCGGCCAACTCGGCTGTCTCGATGATACCCGCGCAGTTGCGTGTTCTGTCGTCTATGACGAAGAGTAACACGCGGGCCGTCTCCTTGGCTTCGTATTCCTGGGCGATGAGTTCCGGGCTCCAATGAGATACTTGCTGCGCAATAAAAAAATTTTTTTATGTTCTCGCTGATATCGTATGTTTGCGCAGGGAGCTTTTGACTATTTTTTTTATTTTTTATTTAATGGCGAATACAACTTGCTTTTAAAATGCTTTTACAAAATCATGTAATTAGAAAATTTCAAACGGTTGTATAGAGATAAAATTCGTTATGTGGTTGAATAAAAGTAGGCTCCTAGACAGTTCACTTGTCGAACAAATATAATGATAATCTGCTTACTCACTTGAAATTAGATAATAAATTTTACATAATTGTTAGATGAATAAAACTTTGACACAAGCAACATTATTTCCACCGAATATTTTCATATTTTTTCTTTGAATAACATAAATAAATCGACTCATCAACCTTATCATTAGATACTTTTTATGTTATTTATAGGATCAATAGCTTTTTTACAATACATACAATTGTTAGTTGTAATTTAATCCTCATGAATTTTTTGATCTTTTCAATTCAATGCTTTAAACATATATTTTATAATTATATATAATAACGTATCATTATAATTCTTTGATAAATAAAAAATTAATCATTCGGTACTATAAATAGTATATGTAAAATTAATAAAAATGTAGTTGTTGAATACGGTCGTTTTTTTAAACAAATATTTTTTGTAATTGAGCTACAAAAGTTAAAGCGCTTTAAGAGTCTCCTTAATGAAATTTAAAAACCACTTAATTCACACTCAATTTAGTGAATTAAAAATACGATTGTAATAGCATTCTCATCTTGATGATTCTGCATTTTTAAATTTTCATCGTAGATTCGCAACGCCACTGACCCTTTATGAAGTGAAAGTTGAAAAAAAATTTAATTTATTAACAACAAATTTATTAACAACTTGCAACAATTTGATTGGAATATATCCACAAACGTTTTTATTATTCACATTAATATACATAAAAACATATATCTGTTATCGATTTTTTTGTTTTGATAGTCGACGTTCGAATAATTAAATAAGGTTCTAAAAAAACAACATTAATTATAGAAAAAAATAACAAAAAAATTAGATCACTAAGGTAATATCATAAGTTTAATTAAAATATCTAACTTATTGAAGGATATTCAAATAACGAACACATTACATAAAATCCTCAATTTAGTTTTATGTTAAAAAGTTGATTGTTTTTAAACAAATTTTTTCTTTTTAATGCAAGAATTGTAAACTTAATTCACATTCTTGAATGTAATAGTGTAATCAATTAAAATCTATCAATTTTATTCGAAGTATGATCATCGTTTCAATACATTTTAAAAACTTGTTAAGAAATAGACTTGAAAAACTTAAACATAAATTAAAAATATATAATTGACTCTTCATACAAATATTAAAATTCATAAAAATAAATATTTCTTGATGATTATTAAATTATTAAAATGATAATGCCTATCTTTAAAATTACAACAAAACAATTGTTAACATGTCTAATTGTCATTAAATGTATTGACGAGAAATTTTATTACAATAATTATGTATTTCCAAAAATAAAATTGAGTAAATAATCAATAAAATCGTAAATTTACTGCTAAAATATGAATTAGAGGCGAATGTAGTTTTGATAAAATTATAAATGTAGCACTTTGAAAGAAAAAGTTAATTATTTCTCACATAACATAAATAAAACTTACTCACAGGGTTATAATAGGTAATACCAAGGCTCTGGAGCGTTGGAATAGCGATGTCGATCCTCCAGGTGGTGGGATTACACGATCCACCCAGGAACACCTCATACGCCATCCTTTCTGGTATTGCATGGTCAAGAAAAAGAGAAAATGACATTTCGATTAAAAAAAAGGTGAGAAATACGACTTATTTTAAGACTGTCGATATTTCTCGCATACACTTTACGTTTGGCATTGCCATTCTATATGTCTAGGAACGTACTTGAGATAGCCTTGCCAGTATCCTTTCCATCACAGTGCAAAGAGCAAGAGGTGCTCATAGGAACAGATACTCTAGAAAAAGAACAAAAAAAAAGATATGAATAAGAAATAATTATTTATTGAACAAAGGCTAAAAATTATAAAAATTAGAATGTGTTAACGGGGATAATGCGTTAAATGAACATACTAGTTAAGTTAATATAGCAAACTCAGATGATTTTCCAAAATATATTCCACTTATGTTTATCCTTTTTTAATGTGACAATTGTAAAAAAAAAAAAAATTGATTGAAAATAAAATAAAATTAATGCACAGTTAGAGCGTAATGAAAATATATTATAAGATTTTTGTTTTCGTTGAATATTGTGAATTTTTGCATTTATTCTATACACAACGAAATTTTTTGCTGAAAATCACAGGTTGAAGTTTTAAGATACAAAATAAATTGAAGTTTTATTATGTATTTACACGACTCAAACTTCAAGCAAATCAATTTCATTCGAAATCATGAATAATAACAAGATGTTCAAGTCGCTTAATGTTGACAATTTTATGTCATTTACAATTATATTAATCACTGAATCATCGCATACTTTTTGCAGTTTCATAATATTTCTTAAACAGGGAATAAACAATAGTTAAAATATAATGATATGATTTAAGAGGAGAAGCCATGGTTTTAAATAATTAATAACTTGTAGTATGCTTTTATGTTTCTTAGAGAATTGCAAATATATGAAGAGTACTTGACTATGAAAAATACTAATAAAAATAGTAATTCTATTTGCGAAGGATTTCATATAATGTGATCGTACTCGTTCAAATGAAATTAATATAATCTACTATCTACTATTAACAATTAATTTTTTTAACAAAAATGTTGTACTTAATAATTATAATTTTCATTGCCCTACCTTTTTAAAGACTTTCATTTTCACAAACTCAATTATTATAATAAACGCTAATATTGAATATATATATATATATATATATATATATTATTGAATTGCATATTTTAAATAATGAATACAATAATAAATTATAATAATAAAATTTCTTTAAATATAGGCATTCTCTTATTATCATCGCCTTGGCTTTCCATTTTAAACAATTATATAATTAATTCAAATTTTAAATTTACATGTGTATTTTAGACTTGTACTTAAAAATATTTTTTTAAATGTCTATTTCTACTAAAAAAAAAATGTTTCTTTTTACAAACACCGAAGAAATAATCAAAATAATAATCATGCAATTTTAAATCATTAAATGTTCAATAAGCCAGTAGGAAACTTATTAAATATTTTAAATATTTTTTGTAAATAATAACGTCGCATGATTATTGCAAATATTATTCTGCATTATGAATATAAATTTTATCGTAAATATTTCAGATTATAATTATTTTCGATCGAATAATACAATTTAACAAAATATTAACTATTTTTTTAATTTATTTCTAAATTAAAAAAAAAAAAAAAAAAAAAAAAAGAACAGTATTAGGGCTAACATAAGACATTAAAGCATTCGGAATGCGAATACAAAGTGAATATTATAAAAGTCGTGAAAGGCATTTGTACATATCTTTAAGTACAAATATTATTTTACGTAAATTACCGTTTACTTAATTATTAATCTTGTATTAAGAAAAACATTAATTATTATTACGAATATTTTTTATGACGCATAAAAAGTACAATAAAATTTCTACTATTTATATCTCCCGATAATATGTACATTATGTATGAGTAGTCGATAAGTTTCTTCATTTTATTAAACAATCGATAAATTTTACTTAATTTTTTTCACGTCAAATCCTTTAGTAGAGAATAGTAATAGTACAAGACATGTACAGGAAATAAATGATAGTTTGTTTTTTTTTTATGCCTAGTGTAGCTGTATTTTATTAGGAATTATTTTTAAAGTTCATGCTATTGGAAAACTTATCGCACGGTTAATTTCGTTCATGAGATAATTTAACATAACACGTCAAAAGAGAATTTGGATAATACAATTATTTACATGCATAAATAATATAAGCGGCAAAACCATTTACAGACGTCATGCAAACGCTCGATAATTAATAATCAGGATTTGATATTGTATACAAATGAAAATCTCAAATATAAACTTTATATAATACGCAACATGAAATTAGCACGCATAAATAAATAAAAAAAATAAATAAATAAACAAAAAAAAAACAAAAAAAATAAAAAAAAAATAAGAATAGCTGGAAGACTTAAACGTACTTTTAAATATCAAATCCTTTTACAGGTATATAAAGCAATCCCACGCTTCAACATGGTTAAGATACACTTCGTTCATGTTTGATGCACTGACGCTTCTCGCCTGCAACAGAGAACGAAAAACTCTGCTCAGATGAGTGAGCACATTGATTTGTGTCTCAGTTGTCATTGCAGATTAAAGTTTAATGGAGGGATTTTAAGGGAGGAGGGCACTAAGGATCACACATTATTACTCTAAATTCTCTATTTATTACGAAAGGAGGATAACCCGTAGGATGGTAACATTGTACGAATGTCTATATCTATGAAATATTTATGTACATTAATTACTCACGAGTCATTTAAGTGAGCCTTACTTACGAAGATAATTGTTACTTTAAATTTTATGTGTGATTCTCATATATCGTTTTTCTTTTTTATGAAAAAATAATTTTTTTTTTTATTTTTTATTATTATTTTTTTTTTTTTTTACATCGTACGTCTTAGGAGTTCAAGCCTTTCAGAATATTTCAATTTCTGAGTCATGTAAAAGTTTCTAAAATTAGATGAGCTCGTGTAATTGGAGGGAAATATCCTAAATTAATTTCAATGTTAAGAAAAACCTTTAAGAAAGAATTTTCAGCAATGACAATTATTGTTTTCTTCTCATTATTCCGCTATTAACTATTTTATAATATGACATTAACGTTAATGAATAACAATTGATACCTATTTTGTCAGTGATAAACAATTTATATAGACTTGCCGATTTATTAACTTGTTTTTAAGTGTAACGCGACATAAGAATATACGTTACTAACATGAAAATTTTTTTTATTAATTTCACGTGCTACTTGAATTCACTAAAAAATAATAATATAACTATACAACGGATTTCAATTAAATTTGACCGTTATATATTATAAAAATATTCGATGTATTAAACTCAGTAAATTGTTTACGTATATCTATTTAAAGAATATATATAGAACATGCTTTTAAATTAAGATAAATCAGTTGTTGCATTTAATATCGTAATTTAATATAATATTAAAATAAATTATCGAACTCACTCGTTTAAGTATTCTAGATTTAGTTATTCTAGATGTCGTATAATTTCATATAAAATTTTGTTAATTATAATGTTTCCAAAAGCCTTTTTAATAATGTCTAAAAATAAAATATTCTTATATTACGGCTGAAAATGTAAACATTTTACTAGAAACGTCAATAAACGTGAAGTCTTTATAAATATCTCGATATTATCTTATTTTTATTGTAAAAATTATTATTTTATGGTGGCAATGGTCGCATCCCAATGTAAAAAATTGAAAATTTTTTAATTCATGAGATTATTTTTCAATTTTTATAGTACTTCTATGTCATATTATATATTAATTTTTTATTCGTTCTTATCTGAATAATGGATATTTTTTTTTCCACATAATATAGCTGGCAACTTAAAGCACTCCAGCATTCTTAATTGGCAATTATATTCCTTCAATTTTTATCCGATCGATTATATAACGATTTTATCTAGTTCAGACTCTTTTGCATCAAATAAATAATTAAAAGTATTTATAACCTTAATTTGTAAGCAAGTAAAAGAAGTTTTATCTCAATCTACATAAAAAATTGTTTATTACGTATTTTACCAGTATTGGTTAGTGAGGATCTGAAAATACATCCAAATTTTATTTGTACATTATTTGTTTATAAGAGGTTTAAAATTAATTTTATTATAATCAAATTTACATTGAATATACAGTCGGAAACTTTTTCATAACTCTTACAATATCTGCGATTAATTATTAAATTTTTTATGCAAATAAAGACATATTTATATGAAAATATCTCTTGGATATTCGCCAATTTCATATTAGCTATATACAAGAAACAAACTAAATCTATTTGCTCCCTAAAATTGTTAATTATATTTATTCTGAATTTATTAAAAAAAAAAAAAAAAAAAAACTATTCTTAATTATATATCCCTTAATTATTTAATAAGACGAGTTAATCTTCCATATTTTATTTTAAATCATTTCTTATAGTTTTGCACCTGCAGTCGTTAATTTCAAAAATATTTCCTACAATGTTTGGAAAACATATGCTCTGTCGTTTCAATGAGTGTAGAAAAATAGCTGCAAATAAATTATTTTTCTTTCATACATTTGTCAAATTGAACACAAAATTTACACTTCTAAAAATACTTGATTTTATATTAAATTATTTTATGCAATGATAACAAACTTTGTATTAATTTTCCAATTACAAAATTATCTTATAACATTCTTTTCTGTTTCATTCAGTTAGGAAAAAAAATATTAAGAAATTTTACTAGCGAGCGTCTAAATCACATTTTCATTATTAATAATTTTTTGAAATTTTTAAAATAAAATATCTAACGATCGGAATCTATTTAAAAATTATTTAAAAGATTTTATAGTAGAACAAATGTTCTTGCTATGAATTTGAAAAAAAAGTGATGCTTTCGTATACCTGATTTCTGACTTTCATTAAATATTTTTACATAAATTAAAAAATAGAAAATATAATAAATATGTAAAAAGATATATATATGTGTACAATTGTGCAAATTGTCATTTATGTTCATAGACGATATTATGTAAAAGAAATTAGAATTTGAATGGTGATTTAAAGCTAGAAATAGAAACATAAAAACCAATGAGATTTTGTAACATTCGCCAAATTATATCGTTATTCTAAAAAAAAAAAAAAAAAAAAAAAGTGAAAAGTTTCGCTTTCGCTAATGAAATTAAAAATTTCCTTTTTATTTTATAAACGATTATAGCTAAAAAAAAAGCGACATTGACTGCATTCTCATGATTAATTAACTCATTATATTATAAAATTTTTAAACAAATATTTTTAATTTTAATTTTTATGATTTATTATAAAACATAGAAACTAAATCTTGTATTTTTCAAAACTTTTGAAATTAAGTAACCCCTTTAGGTAATAAACTATTTTTTGATTCATAAAATTATGATGATTCGCGCCTGCTAACGTATACATATTATTTATAAATCTATTTAATTACCCAATACGTTTATTTACACATACGTATACATAAGAGAAAATTACCCATACTGATAATGACTATGTAAACATGATTTATACAGGTTTTAGTTCGTGTAAATTGTTTAACTTTAAATATCAAATTATTTTAAATTGCGTAATTCAACTAAAAAATATAATACGGCTGTAATTTTTTTTTTTTAATTTATCAAACAAAAAAAAAATAAACGTATGAAACAAGTCAGACTTATTATTTCATTGTAATTATATGTATCTTGACTGAGCATATAGATAATTACGTTTTATTATTTTTTACAGCTATTAATAATAATATAAAAACAATTCACATAAAAATTATATATGCATAATTGTATTTTACATATTTTATTCGTAAAGATTTAATGAGAATTAGTAACCTAAACTTAAGCACTAAATTGACTAATTGAAACATTAAGCTGATTAATCATAAAATTGAAAATTCTCCTATTTAATTAATAATTTTTTTTTTCTTAAAGTATTAATAACAATTACATATATTATATACAATTAAATTTAATCGTTCATATATTATTATTATATTTTATATCATATATTATATAAAAACATTTATAGCACATACACATAGGCTTAATAAGAAAAAATATTGTTGCAAAAGTCGAACTTAACATAATCGAATTTTTTTCCATAATATAATTTATTATTACTTTTGTAAAATTTTAATAAGCAGTTTCATATTATTGTTGTCCTGCCAATGACACAAGTAGTAAATAAAAATATTTTATGATTAAATTCGACCAAATAATATTAACCAAAAGAATTATAATGCCATTAAAACATAAATTGTTCATATTAGTATAAAAAAAACACACATGAAAACTCACCCTTGCTTGTAAAAACATGCAAGTTCGTTAACAAATATTAAGAAATCCTTTAACATTGTGCCAGTTTCCTTGTTTATTTGCAACGAAGACTCTGCGAGACGTGGCATCTCAAAAAATCACAGTCCGCCACAAAGTATCTCGTCTGCCTAAAAAAGAATAAAAATTATTCATTAGAAAGTTTATAAAATAATTCATGTAATTAAATTAATTAAGATGTACAATTTACTTCACAAAAATTAAACACATCTGCACATATATATATATATATGATAATTTTAATAAACGTATTTTTTTATTATGCTAATGTTTAAGTATAAAAATAATTCAATAAATAATTAATGAAAAATATATTTGTTTTGATCAATTTTAATGAATATATAACTTATTTAAACTATATATAAAATAAAAATCTAAAATTGTTGTTATTACCAAAATACTTTTAATAATATTATATTAATAGTATCCGCAAGTATTTATTTTTATCAAAATATTGTTAAAATATACGTTAGACCCTACATTTCAAAATTTGGAAATAACTATAATACTTTATGTAATTATTTATAATTAATATTGTATATAATATATCAAGAAATATTTGCGATAGATAATAATTAAATTTTCAGAAAGTATCAATGACATTGTTTAAAAAAAAAGTATATGTATACATGTATATATATATATATATATATATATATATATAAGCAAGATTACAAATTCGAATTCTATTTTTAACTGTGAAATCATAAAAGTAAATTTGCAAGTAAACAAAAAGTGAAAAACTAGAGTAAATTTGAATGAAAAATGTTGAAACTTACATATTAAGATTACAACATGTATTGTATAATCATAGACGATTCTAATGATGAATATACTTTAATATTCATATATTCGTACAATATTTTCTTTTATTAAAAACTTTTTTAACTATTTTAACTGCTATTGTAATTTCAAAAAGGGTAAAAATCATAAAATTACATGTTCTATTAATTAATCATCGTTATAATATCAATTTTAATCATTAAAAATAAAACCTATACTTTCTTACAAATGAACATGAAAGTTAAATCAATTAATATGTACATTTTCAATATACAAATATATATATATATATATATATATATATATATATATATATATATATATAAATTAGAAATCGTTAAATGTAGATTCTTATTACGTAATTATTAGAAATTATTAAATACAAATAGTTATGAAACTATAAAAGAGGTTTCCAACTTTATAAATAGTTGATGAATATTTTCAATTGCATTAAAGAATTAAAATCAGCCTGTTTAACTAAATATAATTAATTACAATAAATTATTACACTATTCGGATACAAAAAGGAATCGATACATATGTAAAATAACTAGATTATGAATTTAATTTTTAAGCTACATTTGAATAATACAAAAATTAAAAAAAACTATCAAATATTAAATGATTAAATAATTGTATTCTTTTAATCTATTTCTAATAAAAGGTTTGCAAGTGTTTTT